TAGGGGCCTCAGGGGGGATGTAGGGGCCTCATAGGGCCCCTGGGGACCTCAGGGGGGATGTAGGGGGGATGTAGGGGCCTCATGGGGGATATAGGGGCCTCAGGGGGGATGTAGGGGCCTCAGGGGGGATGTAGGGGCTTCAGGGGGGATGTAGGGGCCCCTGGGGGCCACATGGGGCCTCATGGGGGGATGTAGGGGCCTCATTGGGCCCCAGGTCTCATGGGGCCCCTGGGGGCCTCAGGGGCCCCTGGGGGGGTAGTTCCTCCGGACCCGGGCCTTGCGGTCCTCCTGCTTGAGTTTGAGGGCGCGCAGCTTCTGCTGGCGGCGTTTCTCGCGCAGCCAGAGCTGCTGGCAGTGCTGGTCGGGGCTCAGGTTGTTGCCCCCGCCCAGCGCCAGCTGCTTGTAGCTGCGCGGGGGGGCGGCGGGGGCCCCGGGGGCCCCGGGGCCCGGCTGCAGGCTGAGGCCCCGGATCACGTGGAGCTGGAACCGGGCCAGAACCCGGCGGTGGGAGCGGTCCAGGCTGGAGCAGCTGTAGAGGCCGGACCCGGCCGGGTCCAGACGGGAGAGGAGCAGCCCCCGGGGCAGCTGGGGGGGGGGGGGGGCAGTAAATAAACACAAAAACAATAAACAAACACAAAGAAAAACAAACAAATATAAAGAAACACAAAGAAAAACAGATACAAACAAACACAAAGAAATACAAAGAAAAACAAACACACACAAATAAAAACAGATGTAGACAAACACAAAGAAAAACAAAGATAAACAAACAAACAAACAAACAAACACAAACAAATACAAAGAAAAACAAACAGACAAAGACAAACAAACAGACAAAGACAAACAAGCAAACAAATACAAACACAAACAAATATAATCAATCAAAGAAAACAAATATACAGACAAAAAGAAACAAACAAACACAAAGAAAAACGAACAAATACAAACAAATACAAACAAACACAAAGAAAAAAGACAATGATAATGTGGTGCCTTCAGGGGCTGCATAAAATCTGGTACATCTGGGCTTCTAGAATTTACTAGAATTTGGAAATGTGCTAAAAAAACACGTGTGGATCTGATCTGATCATCAGGTCTCGCCCTCTCTCTCTTGCCCTCTCTCTCTCTCACCCCCAACCGGCCAAGGCAGATGCCCCCCCCCCCACCCTGAGCCATGGTTCTGCTCCAGGTTTCTGCGTGTTAAAAGGAAGTTTTTCCTTGCCTGTGTCGCCTAGTGCTTGCTCATGGTGGGAATTGTTGGGTTTCTGTAATTAACTTCAGAGTAGGGTCTGACCTGCTCTGTTTGGAAAGCGCTGTGAGACAACTGTTGTTGTGATGTGGCGCTATATAAATAAAATTGAATTTAATTAAATCTAATTTCTCCTCACCTGAGTGGCCTCCTGCGTTTGGCCCACCGGCTGCTGGCGGCCCTCCTGCTCCAGGGTCCAACTGATCTCAGCCTGTGGGGACCGGGGAACACACTCCAGGAAGGTGGCGTTCCCCTCCACGCCGAACACCTGCTCCACGCCCACCGAGGCCCCGTCTGAGCACAGGAGGCAGAACATCAGCACTCAGACGGCCCACGCACCCTGAACCTCTCACACAGCCCCGTTATCAAAAAGCTGGGGCGGTTTGGGATGGATTTGGGGGAAGTTTGTGAGGTGTAGTTACACACAGCGGCCAGCAGAGGGAGCCAAAGCGTAACTTAAAAAATAAAAGCTATTATTATCTAGACTTTAAACTAACTAAGCTTATTTATTTATTTTAAATTTTGTATTAAATTTTTATATTTATTTTCTATTTCTCTTATTTAAAAAACAATCTCTCAGTTATCATTTTAAACTAACTTAGCTTATTTATTTTTATCTAATTTTGTTTTAAATGTTTTTCTATTTTTCTGATTTAAAAAAAATCTCTCACTTATAACTTTAAACTAACTTAGCATATTTATTTGAATTAAATTGTTATATATATGTATTTTTTCGATTTTACTGATTTTTAAGAAATCTTTCATTTACAACTTTAAAATAATTCTGAACATCTGAGAGGGGAATTCTGTAGAAATTCACAGCCCGGTCATCAAACAGATTGGTCGATTTAGGATCGATTTGGGGGAAGTTTGTGAGGCTGCAGTTACACACAGCGGCCAGCAGAGGGAGCCAAAGCCCAAAAAATAAAAGCTATAAAAGTTTTTAACCTCCTGGTTTCCTGTTCTGATGGAGGACCTTGAATTTCTGCCTCTCACTACCAGGATCCTTCTCTTTTCTGTGACCTTTGACCTCTGGGCCTCATAGCAGACGCTATCAGACACTACTGTTTGAAATCTAAAGGAAAATGCTTTTAGACATTTTATCCAAACGGGCCAATGGGAGCAGGGCTGCTGTCCCATGTGACCTGAGAAAGGAGAGGATACTGTGTGGGATCCATTTAAATGGAGGAACATCTGAGAGGGGAATTCAGCATTTGGAGCGTCTGTTTGTCCGACAGGACTCAAACTCACCGTCCTCCACTGGGCACCGACTGAGGGGGTCACCATGCTTCAGGTCCTGTCTGCGGGCACGCCTAACACACACACACACACACACACACACACACACACACACACACAGACACACACACACACACACACACACACACACACAGACACACACACACAGACACACACACACACACACACACAG